TTATATGAGTGGTACACAGGCATCCTGAGAGCAGAGTAGAAGTGACCATACTGCAGTTCATGGTAGTACTTTCCATTGCACTGTGAACACAATTAGCTAGTTTGGAAGTTTACTTCTGTATATTTGGAGGCCCTGGCAAGTATGTATGTGTGACTGTACTTGTAAAAACAGTAGTTGTATGCTTATTGTTTAGTACTTTATAAAGCAATTCTGCACGTGGAGGTGCTACACCTTTTTTTTTCCCCTTCTTCTAAGTTTTATTGTTTTAGTCAATAATACTGATTGCTGATCAGTTTCTTTTAGTAATGTTCTATGCCTTTCTTTTAACACTCCAGGTCTGTTTTCAATATATTCAGATTGTCCTATGGCTGTTAATCTTTGCATTTTTACTCTCCGTATTAGTCTGCTTTCTGGCTTTAAATTTTTTTATCTTTCTTTAAAACCTAGAGGAATGCTTTGAAGTACTTTCTCTCCATGCCTTCTGTCAGTTCTATTTCAGTTTTTCTGTGGTGGGTTAGGTTTAATATAGGAAAGAAATACACCCATCTACAACAAATGTCACCCTAAAACTCTTGAAATGCTTTTGTTTAAGCTAAAAGTAAAGAAGCTCTTGCCTTGCAAAGTATTGTGAGCTTCAAACCCCAAATAAATAACTCTGCAAAATTATAAACAATTAAAAAAATTGATGTCCTGAATTACTATTCTGTAGTGCCATGGTGAGTAGCATTCACCATACCAGTAGTTTTTAATACAATTTTTAGTTGAGTGTTGCTGAAAGAACACTTGAGTGTATGATAATTCTCTTTAAGACCATAATGACAGTGGACTAACAGCTGTGAATGCTCTTGGTGGTTAGCATATGAGACCTTGGTTTGGTTCTTGTCCAGTGTACATACTTCATGGTCTGCGTTTGCGTGGCTTACTCGAGGTTTGTAGGTATTTTAATATGCTAGGGAGGCAAGCTACATATTTGGTGGGATGTTGGTGGTTACAGTGGTTAAGAATGAGGAACCAGAAGGAATATGACCAGCAAAAACTCTTGCTAGAGAATAAAAATCCAGCCATTTAGATCTAGGACAGTATCAGACAGGTTTTGAGAAGGAGGAGAGCTGAAACCTGCTGCCATTGCGTGTCAGGGTTAAATGTTCCTCTTCCAAGTGTACATCACGAGCTTGCCAAAGTGAAATCCTAGTAATGATGTATGCATAGTATAATATAAATTATCTGTGTACATCTAATCTTATCCTTTGATAGAAACCAGACCCTGAGGCCAGTGATGGAACAGATCATTATCATCAGCACGTAGCACTTAGCACATGCAAACTATTGCACAAAGGTATAGCTAAACATTGTGAGACTGTTGAAATGTAAGAAAGAACATCTCTTTGGGGGACTTCAGATTGAATTTGTTTTGAAGCTAGGGCAGTGGTCAGTTAACTGACCATAGTGGTCTGTAAAACTAAAGGAACTGTTTCCCAGCTTTCCTGTTTTATACATGCTAGTTAGTTACTTCATTAAACTGTCTTCTTTCAGGGTCCCAGCATGTTTTGGCAACACTGAAAATGCTCTTGTTGAGATTTTTTTCTTTACCTTTTGACTTCTAATTATCTAGTTTCTCCTCCTCCTTCAGACAGCTTTCCCACAGATGACATTTTTCTAGGTTTCTTGCACCTTGCTTTATCATGTGCTGATTTGGAGCAGTCAGACTGGAGATATGAAAGTTTCTAGTACAGCAGAGCATATCTTTGCACTTGTTTTCCCCACCTGGTCAGTTACATCTGTGACAGAAAGTTGTTCATGTGTCAGGCCAGACATCACTTCTAAGAAACATAGAAGGGAGACAGTAAGTATCTTTTTTCTCCAGATCAATCCCACTGCTATTAGCAGGAGTCAGATTTCTCTCAGGATGGTTGATGTTTCTTGAGAAATAATTTGCTGATTACCTTGAAAAATGTCCCAAGATTGCTTCAGGGATTGAAATCTTCCATCTGCTACTGTGTACCTTTGCAGTCAGGATTTTCTGCAGCTGGTGAGTGGGAAAGTAAGACACTGTGTTTGGCCAGATGTGATCCTCTGCTGTTATGCATACACAGAACACTTGCAAATTCTGCCTTTCTTTTTTAATGCCCTGTAATCTGCCTGTCATCTGCCATTTGTCCTTACCTCTCAATTAAGTATTGTATCATCTGTGTTCATCCTTCCTCAGACTCCTTTATCCTTGCTGATGGTCTTCCCTTCTTTCATGTACAGTTATTTTCAACGGTGTTCCCACCTCTATATTCAAAGCTTCCCGCTTCTCCCATTGTTATAGATTTCTTGCACAGACCCTGGCCATCTGTTCCTTTGCCTTTGCATCCTTGTCCTATGTTTGTGTTTTTCAATACCTTGCCTCCTTCTGCTGTTCCTTTACTTTGTTAGTTGTTGTCATGGGAATACCCACTGTGACTTCTAAATAATACACAGAGAGCTGTGGTTTCATTCTATTTGATAAAGTCTTGATTGTGAAGACAGAATAAAACAAACAAAAAGCTCCACCAGAAATTACAATCTGTGAGATTAGAAAACAAAACCTTAAATAAAACTGTATAAAAATCATCATTGCTCTCAGACAGAGATATTCTGATTTTCTAACCTCATGGCATGGCAACCTTGCATGTTGTGCAGGTTAGAATCTAAGAAATTTCTGTAGTTCTTAGTGTTTGTCGTGCTGTCTCATGATTAAATGCTGTGGAATATAGAGGATCCATAAAATAGTAACATACTGGGAAACATGCTTCCAAGCTGGAAACCAGCTATTATGATTTTAGTGCAATTCCCTGAGAGCTCATTCTGTGCTTCCATTTTAAAAAATGCAGGTATACTCATAAATAACTTCATGAATATGAAAAAAACACAGAAAGTAACACCTTTATGGCTTCCCTTGCACAAGGTGTTGGCTTATTCTTTGTACTTGCAGTATAGGGCCTAGATAAACTCCTTGGCTTCTGTACTTCCTCTGCAAGAAAAATTATTTATTCAGAGACACTAAACTATGTGTGTTCTGGTGTTTGTCTTCCTTGGACTTCATGAAATGCAAACTGCACTTAAATACTTGGCCCCTTCTGAACTGTATATATGCTTCTCTGTAGTACAGCATCATTTGGGGACTAACACACATCTTTAAGAATTTTGTGGGAAACCCTGACAAAGTACTGTTTAAATAACCACAAAATTAAGGTGTTGGTGTACTTCAAGCCGCATACGGGAACCCACACTGCCTCTGTGGTTACTTGCATTGAGAGCAATGAGTAAACAGCTGGACGTACTTTCCCCCAAATTATATATGCCTACCATTAGTATAATTTCTATGCAAGTTGAAGAAAAACCAAAACATCCTTTTTGAAAGGAGACCCCCTTGTCTGCATGTATGCTCACGCATGCATGAACACATTCTGGTCCAGAAAGAGCAATTAATGTTTAATCATTGAACTATATATAAGGAGCTCCTAAACCCAGAGAGCTGCAGTTGGGCGATGTCCTAATCTATATGGACCACCAGTACAGAGCTTCTTTTTACCGTTATGGCTGATCTCTAAGACTTGGCAGTAAGCTCTGCCTAATATTTGTCATGCATTTACATTTTAGTACGTATTTCTGAAAAATACAGACTAAGCATGAGTTTAAATAGAAATTGATAAGTGATTATGGCTCTTAAACATTTCTGTTTGCATTGTATGAATGTGGTTGTGGTGTTTCAGCTGCACAAGAATATAAATGATATGGTTATATTATCAAGGCTAGGGATTGCAAAAAATGTAAAGGAATGCATTTGTATTTAGAGGGATCCTTAGTGAGAAAGGGAATATGCAAGTAGAGGTTTTGTGTGAGAGTTTTTGATGGAAAGCAGAATGAAACCTGGGCTCTGAGAGTCACCTTCGTAAGCTTCATGACTAGTCTGATATACTAGTTTTCTAGCTGACTGTTGCTCAGAACATCTTAAAGCTAAACCAAAGATTGAGTACTTACAAAGCATACTGTCGTTTCTTCTTTTGTGGTTTTTTTTATTTTTTTATTTTTTCTTTTGTGCTGGTTTCAAATGCAGTAACTTATTTCCAAACTATTTTATTAGATTTCTTTTTTTTTTTTTTGCAGTTTCATTAATCTCGTTTAATATTTCAGGGTGCTTTGGCTAATGCTGAGCATTGTGTCCCTAAGGGGCAACTCATAAATCCTGCTTATTTTAAGAGTTTCCAAAGTGTCTCTAAAAAAAATTCCAACTGAACTAGAAGGGCCTAGCTCAAGACGGGTGGCAGGTTAATGAAGACATCTCTTTATGAATGAGTCCTCCTGGAATAACAGGAAAATGGAGAGTATTCACACCAGCCCTGTGAGATGCAACGTCTGTGAGATTCCTCTGCTTCAGGCCTGAAGAAAGGGAACTCTGAAGTCTAGCAGTGTGAATGCAGCACAGAAAATAGGGGACATGGCTTTACATGCGTTTGAGCTATAAAGGCTTCTATACACCAGTATGCAGAAAGGATTGAGGCCATGCCTATGGTGCATCAGTCTTTAGGAAGGCTGGTATTAGCAGCTGAGCAGGTGGATCTGCTGCACCTTACTGCTTCCATTGAATAAGGAGAGCTGGAGAAGAAATCATATAATCCAGATCCTCTGTATCATGGAGTCCCTTGCACAGAGATGGCAGGTTATGAAATAGCATTTTGGTCCCCTGCTGAACATGCAATGCGTAACAAGGTGATGTGCTGCGGGAGTGAAAATTTCTTAGACTTTAAGTTGCTTCCTGTGATTCTTTCCTGTGGTTCAGAGCCTCAGACTTAAATTAGGTTGATTTAGTATTTATTTTGTGTTTATTACACAAGTTAAAGATATATAAATTTATATAGCTAAAAATGTATATTCATCTATTTATATAAATATGTTGCTGTGTATGCATGTTTTATAGGTATGTTTAATATTTGTTACTGAAATAGGTTGATTTTGGTCTTTCTTTCATTTACCAGTTTGCTGAAAGCAATCAGAAAAAAGAGGCTTTACAGAAAAGCATTGAGAAGTCAAAAATTGGACGTGAAGATACTGTAAGTTGCTTTGGTGGGGGAGGCATTCCTACCAGGAAATAGGGCTACAGGTATCCATAGTTTAGAAATGTGTGACTGTCTGAAGTCTGGTAATCTTCCAGGCTTTTTAAGATATCTTTAAATCTAAAAACTTGAGCTACCCAGAGGCATGTACCAAAGTTGCCAATGGTTGCTGAACTGCCAAATCCAGTAACTGTAAACTTAGGTGTTAGTTTGGTTTGGTTTTAGTCTTTTAAGTTAGATTTCTGAATTATCATTCTGAGCAGCCATGTAACCTTGTGCTGTTTGCATGCTGAAGCTGTTAACACTGCAAAATGATATTTAGTCTTCATATTTACCATACATATTAAGTAACATACTAGTTAGCAGTACTTCCTACGGTATTATAAGGTGTTCATTTGTTTAGAGATGTTGAGTCTAAAGGGGTTTAAACTTCCAGTAAATAAATGTATAAGTAGAGATAGCTAGAAGCTTTCAGGAGGAATTAGATTTTGCAGGAAAGTGCCAAACCTTAGCATTCAAAATATTATATAGGAACGTTGTGGTTTTAACTGTAATTGGGAAATCATAGGCAAGTTTCTCCTGCAGTTGTGCTTGTCAGGTTTCAAACTGGACTGTTTGAGACGCTGGGGCTTCTTCACCACATGACCTGCCCTCGTCACAAGAAGCAACTGGTCCTGGAAATCCTGTTCTGGTTGATGCTTCCAGCATTTTAGCTCTGGATTATACACCAGGAAGAAGTCCTGAAAAATCTAGATCAAGATTTAGGTTTCTGAGGAGCTGGCCTCCATGCCGAAGCATCTGGGAGCAGATTTCCAATCTGCATTTTCAGGACGTGCTGAGTCCAGACTGTTGGCTTTTGCACTGTGAATACAGAAGTTCAGGGTGGGGGGAAGGCACACTAAAAACAAACAATAAAGCACCTGAGGCTCCTGGGCTGCCATGGAGATAGCGTGACTTTGTAATGGCAACCTGGCTTTTCTATGGTACCCAGTGCCCTAGCATGAGTTCTTTTGAATATCAGCCAGTTACAATGTTTTGGCTGTTACTACAGACTGAATTAGAAGTATGTGCTGAGTTGGCTATGGGAGGAGGGCTCATGTTGAGTCAGTGTCTGAAAATTCTCATTGATCAATAGAGTATTTGAGGTTGATATTGTATACTCTCCCAGCAAAGGCTACCGTATCATAAATATCTCAAGTTATTTTTAAGACCACTACTCTTAAATGGTGTGGAAAAAGAGTGAATAATAAATTCATAAGGTATTCATATGCAGCATCCTAATTTGGGAAAATGCGAATGATAGGGTTTTCTGTAATGCTGTCTTTAATCACAAGACTAGCACTCCTAAATACCATGTAACCTTTAAGCCAAACAATTAAAATATCTGTTTGGAGTTTGTCAGGAGTTCAGAGGTTGTAGAAAATTTTGTTTATCCATTTTGTGCTTATCTCTTTTTCTCTCCAGTCTGGTTCATTGACAGAAGGCAGTAATGAAAGAGCTTTTAGATTTTTTTTTTTTTTTTTTTTAGGTTCTGGGCAATAATTACTTATTTTTATTTTTGTATTTCCCAACATACTTTGAATCCTCAGGCGGAACGTGCAGCTCTAATAGAGGAACTTGCTGCCCTTCGACAGAAAAAAGAGCAGCTAAAGGCAGAAATAGACAAATACAGAGAATGTGACCCAGATGTCATTGAAGAAATGCGTAAGTTGTATATTGTTTTTTGTGCAAAAGTTCATTTTAAGTTCTCCAATTCTTTAGCTTAAAATTTGGTATGGAGAGGTAAGTCAAACAATAGCAACAGCTGCTTTTCTTTGTAAAGCTGCAAGCAGTACAGATACACTGACCATTTCTTTTCATCTGTGTATATGCTGTAAGGGGGTTTTATCAATATTTACCCTGGCAGCAACTAAGCAGTTAACAGACAATCCTAAAATTGAAATATTCTGATGTGTTAGAATCAATATCATAGAATAGTTAGGGTTGGAAAGGACCTTAAGATCATCAAGTTCCAACCCCCCTGCCATGGGCAGGGACACCTCACACTAAGCCATATCACCCAAGGCTTCATCCAACCTGGTCTTGAACACTGCCAGGGATGGAGCATTCACAACCTCCGTGGGCAACCCATTCCAGTGCCTCACCACCCTAACAGGAAAGAATTTCCTCCTTATATTTAATCTAAACTTCCCCTGTTTAAGTTTTAACCTGTTACCCCTTATCCTATCACTACAGTCCCTAATGAAGAGTCCCTCCCCAGCATCCCTATAGGCCCCCTTCAGATACTGGAAGGCTGCTATGAGGTCTCCACACAGCCTTCTCTTCTCCAGGCTGAACAGCCCCAACTTTCTCAGCATCTCTTCATACGGGAGGTGCTCCAGTCCCCTGATCATCCTTGTGGCCCTCCTCTGGACTTGTTCTAACAGTTCCATGTCCTTTTTATGTTGAGGACACCAGAACTGCACACAATACTCCAGGTGAGGTCTCACGAGAGCTGAGTAAAGGGCAGGATCACCTCCTTTGACCTTCTGGTCACACTCCTTTTGATGCAGCCCAGGATACGGTTGGCTTTCTGGGATGCGAGTGCACACTGCTGGCTCATGTTCATTTTCTCATTGACCGCACCCCCAAGTCCTTCTCTGCAGGGCTGCTCTGAATCTCTTCTTTGCCCAACTTGTAGCTGTGTCTGGGATTGCTCCGACCCAGGTGTAGGACCTTGCACTTGTCCTGGTTAAACTTCATGAGGTTGGCATCAGCTCACCTCACAAGCATGTCAAGGTCCCTCTGGATGGCATTCCTTCCCTCCAGCGTATGAACCGAACCACACAGCTTGGTGTCATCGGCAAACTTGCTGAGGGCACACTCAATCCCACTGTCCATGTCAGCAATGAAGATGTTAAACAAGACCGGTCCCAACACTGATCCCTGAGGGACACCACTCGTTACTGGTCTCCAGCTGGACATTGAGCCACTGACCACAACTCTTTGTGTGCAGCCATCCAGCAAGTTCTTTATCTACCGAGTGGTCCATTCATCAAATTGATGTCTCTCCAATTTAGAGACAAGGATGTTGTGTGGAGCAGTCTCGAACGCTTTACATAAGTCCAGGTAGATGACATCAACTGCTTTACCGCTGTCCATCGTTTCATAGCCCCACCATAGAAGGCCACCAAATTGGTCAGGCAGGATTTCCCCTTAGTGAAGCCATGCTGGCTGTCACCAAGCACCTTGATGTTTTTCATGTGCCTTAGCATGCCTTCCAGGAGAATCTGCTTGAAGATTTGCCAAGCACAGAGGTGAGACTGACTGGTCTGTAATTCCTTGGGTCATCCATTTTCCCCTTCTTGAAAATGGGGGTTGTATTTCCCTTTTTCCAGTCATTGGGAACTTCACCTGACTGGCATGATTTTTCAAATATGATGGCCAGCGGCTTAGCAACTTCATTCACCAGCTCCTTCAGGACCCGCAGATGGATTTCATCAGGACCCATGGACTTGTGCACGTTCAGATTTTTAAGATGGTCTTGAACCAGTTCCTCTCCTACAGTGGGCCCAAAGTTTTCATTCTCACAGTCCCAGCGTCTGCCTTCCAAGACTTGGGTGGTGTGGTCAGAGCATTTGGCAGTGAAGGCTGAGGCAAAGAAGTCATTCAGAACCTCAGCCTTCTCCAAATCCTGTGTAGCCAGTTCTTCCGAGAGCTTCTAGAGGGGGCCTACGTTGTCCCTAGTCTGTTTTTTATTTGCTACGTACCTATAGAATCCCTTCCTGTTATCTTTCACATCCCTAGCCAAGTTTAATTCTAACTGGGCCTTAGCTTTCCTAACCTGGTCCCTAGCTTCCCAGACAACATCCCTGTATTCTTCCCAGGCCTGTCCTTGCTTCCACCTTTTATAAGCCTCTTTTTTTCATTTGAATTTTCCTCAGCAGCTCCTTATCCATCCAAGGAGGTCTCCTGACCCTCCCGCTGCACTTCCTTCTAGTTGGGGTGCAACACTCCTGAGCTTGTAGCAGGTGATCCTTGAATATCAACCAAGAGTCTTGGGACCCCCTGCTCTCTAGGGCTATATCCTGTGGAAGCTTAGTAAGCAGGTCCCTGAAGAAGCCAAAGTCTGCTCTCTTGAAGTCCAGGGCAGTGAGGTTGCTGCATGCCCTTGTCACTGTCCTGAGGATCTCGAGTTTGACCATCTCATGATCACCACAACCAAGGCTTCCCTGGAGCGTCATATTTCCAACCAGCCCTTCCCTGTTGGTGAGGACAAGGTCAAGCATGGCACCTCTCCTTGTTGGCTCCTCTATTACTTGCGGAAGGAAGTTGTCTTCCACACAATTGAGGAACCTCCTGGATTGCTTGTGCCAGGCCGTACCGTCATTCCAACAGATGTCAGGGTGGTTGAAGTCCCCCATGAGAACAAGGGCCTGTGAGCATGAGGCTTTTCCTATCTGTCTATAGAGTGCTTCATCAAAATAATTCTTTCTAGAACCATATTAGTTTTTAACTTCCAAGTGTACTGAACCCTAGAATGAGTGTAGGAAGAGTACTCTCTGGCTCCCATGTACTTTCAATTCCATGCTGTCAAAACAGGTATCTTTCTACTTACTTTGTCTTGTCTGTTTCGAATGTAACCATTTCATTAGAGACACTTAATTATCACTTATACGTAAATATGTTACTGCAGTGTTGAGTTACTGTTTGTACTGTCTCTGACGTGGGATTTTGGTTGGAGTTTCTAATTCTAATGGAATACAAGGAATGGTGAGTGACTTTAATACTTAATGCAGAATCGGGCACTGAAACATACTTAATATTCTGATCCTTAGCATGAAAAATGAAAAGCATGCATGAAATTTTATTGAATTTTCTCTACCTCAACTTTCATGTTTTATTTATTAGGCTCTTATGTTGCTACCCAAACATCACTGCATATTCATTTGTGTAATGGCAAAATGCCATTAGAGTGATGAGGAACAGGCACAGACATTTTTCTGAGAAGATATCTGACTGAATCTTTTTCTTTCCCTATTCTTCTAACAAAGTCCATAGCTTTAAAAATGTGCTGAAAGAAAGCCAGAAACATAAACAGAGTTGGTAGCACACCCCCAAATTGGACAGATATTATTCATTTTGAGGGGCTGTGACACTTTTTGTCAGCTGTGTTATCTTTCCCCAAGGATTTAATGGTATGCCAGGGAATAAGCAAACTTGAGACCTGAGGTTAGTTACTGTGCTGTAAATCCCTCACTGTGTGCTCTCCTGGGGACAAGTTAGACACTTTCCAGCTGATTCCAGCTGTAGAAATGAATGAGGGCAGGCAGATACTGACAGCAGAGATGGATTTGTAGTGCCAGGTATTTTAACTGCTGAGATACCCTTATAGTAAGCATTGCACTGAATGCTTTGAGTGCCCTCTTTTTTGACAGTGGGCATGTTCCTAAATACTAGGCACAAAGGAGCAAATCACAGCTTGAATACTAGGGCAAGCTGCATTAGCTGGTGACACAGAGGCTAATATCCTGAAGAGAGGGAAAGAAATGTAAGGTTAGTTATTTGGTCATGCATTTGTCTTTTTCTTTTTTTCTTTGTTACAAGTGTGTGGAAGCTCCACATGAGTCTGCAATGGAGGGATGAGCAGTCCAGGGTGTTGGTGAGGCTAGTCTTGTTGGGCTGACTGTAGGATTCCCAGGGAATATTGTGGTAGTGTTTTGAAACTAATTAGTCCCTAACCTTTGATGTAAAAGTTTCTGCTTCATTTTATGTTTCATCAGTCATTGTTGCACTGGCCATGTGCACTTTTGCTGGCAATGTATAAATGAATAAATGTTGATGTCAATTTTGAGGTCTTTGTCAAAGCTGAATGGACTTTTACACAGTTTAAGGGGGGGGGTTGGGGGAAGTTTAGGGGGCATTTATTTTGTTCCAGAGTGTGGGGAAGGACAAAACAAGATGCAGGAAGTTACAACTATTAGTGTAAGAAGGCAATAAAGAATCTGAGGCAGTGGAAGGTGTTTAGCTAGACATGAAAGTTACTGCCTCTATTTCACACAATAGCCTTATAACCAGTTACTGGTTCTCAGATTTTAAAGCATTTTCAGACTGCATGAGTGATATCATTTTCTACTAGCTGTACAAGCTAAATAATCCTTCTGGTTATTTTCAGTTAGATCATCTGAGCGGATTACTAAGTCTACCTTATTTTAATTTTGAGTCAGAAGTCAGAGATGGCCATTATGTTATAATGACACTCTGAGTTGGATTGTTTAGTGTAATACATTTTGTAATGGACAGTTGTCACTTTCTACGTTTTGGTTTTCCCTCTTCTTTCTTACTGACTTAAACCTGTAAAGAAGTATTTCTGATGCTCAGTATAAAACTTCAGTCTATTAATTTCCAATCCCGTATCTTAGAGATGCCTTGATTTTTATTTTGGTATTTTAGTGGTATATCAAATTGTCATCTGATTTCAGTGGCCTTCAAATTTGGTGAATGCTTTGCTAAGCCTTTTTAATTGCTCTTGCCTTAAAAGGAGCATTGCAGGAACAAACCTATTGTACAGTGATAAGCCTTGTTAAAACACACACTAATTCCAGGATCAAAACAAAGTTTGGGTGATTCATAGCAAATATCTGAAGACTCAACTAAAAGCTGAACATCTGTCTTGCTTCCTGACTCTTGTGGTGGGAAAGTCATGTTTGGCCTAGTAACTAAAT